GGGGAAGGAGAAATGAAAGCCCTGAGGTAAGTGGGGACGTGGGATACTGGGAGGAAGCACGAGCAGGAGCGCGCAAGAGAGGAGGGCTCCTGCCTCATACTGAGAAAGAGGGACAATCAGTGAGTTATCTCAAGTGCCTGTACACAAATGCAAGAAGCCTGGGAAACAAGCAGGGAGAACTGGAAGTCCTGGCACAGTCAAGGAATTATGATGTGCCTGGAATAACAGAGACTTGGTGGGATAACTCACATGACTGGAGTACTGTCATGGATGGATATAAACTGTTCAGGAAGGGCAGAAAAGGTGTGGGAATTGCATTGTATGTAAGAGAGCAGTATGACTGCTCAGAGCTCAAGTATGAAACTGCAGAAAAACCTGAGAGTCTCTGGATTAAGTTTAGAAGTGTGAGCAACAAGGGTGATGTCGTTGTGGGATTCTGCTATAGACCACCGGACCAGAGGGATGAGGTGGACGAGGCTTTCTTCCGGCAACTTCACAAACAAGGTCAGCTCCCAGACTGCTGCACTGGGCATCACAACATGGGGAATAGATGGCCAGCCCTCTGTGGAGAAAGAGGTGGTTAGGGACTATTTAGAAAAGCTGGACGTGCACAAGTCCATGGGGCTGGACGAGTTGCATCCGAGAGTGCTAAAGGAATTGGCGGCTGTGATTACAGAGCCATTGGCCATTATCTTTGAAAACTCGTGGCGAACGGGGGAAGTCCCGGAAGACTGGAAAAAGGCTAATTAGTGCCCTTCTTTAAAAAAGGGAAGAAGGAGGATCCTGGGAACTACAGGCCAGTCAGCCTCACCTCAGTCCCCGGAAAAATCATGGAGCAGGTCCTCAAAGAATCAATCCTGAAGCACTTACATGAGAGGAAAGTGATCAGGAACAGTCAGCATGGATTCACCAAGGGAAGGTCATGCCTGACTAATCTAATTGCCTTCTATGATGAGATTACTGGTTCTGTGGATGAAGGGAAAGCAGTGGATGTATTGTTTCTTGACTTTAGCAAAGCTTTTGACACGGTCTCCCACAGTATTCTTGTCAGCAAGTTAAAGAAGTATGGGCTGGATGAATGCACTATAAGGTGGGTAGAAAGTTGGCTAGATTGTCGGGCTCAACGGGTAGTGATCAATGGCTCCATGTCTAGTTGGCAGCCGGTGTCAAGTGGAGTGCCCCAGGGGTCGGTCCTGGGGCCGGTTTTGTTCAATATCTTCATAAATGATCTGGAGGATGGTGTGGATTGCACTCTCAGCAAATTTGCGGATGATACTAAACTGGGAGGAGTGGTAGATACGCTGGAGGGCAGGGATAGGATACAGAGAGACCTAGACAAATTGGAGGATTTGGGCCAAAAGAAATCTGATGAGGTTCAATAAGGATAAGTGCAGGGTCCTGCACTTAGGACGGAAGAACCCAATGCACAGCTACAGACTAGGGACCGAATGGCTAGGCAGCAGTTCTGCGGAAAAGGACCTAGGGGTGACAGTGGACGAGAAGCTGGATATGAGTCAGCAGTGTGCCCTTGTTGCCAAGAAGGCCAATGGCATTTTGGGATGTATAAGTAGGGGCATAGCGAGCAGATCGAGGGATGTGATCATCCCCCTCTATTCAACATTGGTGAGGCCTCATCTGGAGTACTGTGTCCAGTTTTGGGCCCCACACTTCAAGAAGGATGTGGATAAATTGGAGAGAGTCCAGCAAAGGGCAACAAAAATGATTAGGGGTCTGGAACACAAGACTTATGAGGAGAGGCTGAGGGAACTGGGATTGTTTAGTCTGCAGAAGAGAAGAATGAGGGGGGATTTGATAGCTGCTTTCAACTACCTGAGAGGTGGTTCCAGAGAGGATGGTTCTAGACTATTCTCAGTGGTAGAAGAGGACAGGACAAGGAGTAATGGTCTCAAGTTGCAGTGGGGGAGGTTTAGGTTGGATATTAGGAAAAACTTTTTCACTAGGAGGGTGGTGAAACACTGGAATGCATTACCTAGGGAGGTGGTGGAATCTCCTTCCTTAGAAGTTTTTAAGGTCAGGCTTGACAAAGCCCTGGCTGGGATGATTTAATTGGGGATTGGTCCTGCTTTGAGCAGGGTGTTTGACTAGATGACCTCCTGAGGTCCCTTCCAACCCTGATATTCTATGATTCTAACTCAAGGAAGTTACTAGATCGCAGGCCCTGGTTCTCATGGGACACTTCAATCACCCTGATATCTGCTGGGAGAGCAATACAGTGGTGCACAGATAATCCAGGAAGTTTTTGGAAAGTGTAGGGGACAATTTCCTGGTGCGAGTGGTGGAGGAACCAACTAGGGGCAGAGCTCTTCTTGACCTGCTGCTCACAAACAGGGAAGAATTAGTAGGGGAAGCAAAAGTGGATGGGAACCTGGGAGGCAGTTACCATGAGATGGTCGAGTTCAGGATCCTGACACAGGGAAGAAAGGAGAGCAGCAGAATACGGACCCTGGACTTCAGAAAAGCAGACTTTGATTCCCTCAGGGAACTGATGGGCAAGATCCCCTGGGAGAATAACATGAGGGGGAAAGGAGTCCAGGAGAGTTGGCTGTATTTTAAAGAATCCTTATTGAGTTTACAGGGACAAACCATCCCGATGAATAGTAAATATGGCAGGTGACCAGCTTGGCTTAACAGTGAAATCCTTGCTGATCTTAAACACAAAAAAGAAGCTTACAAGAAGTGGAAGATTGGACAAATGATCAGGGAAGAGTATAAAAATATTGCTCGGGCATGAGGAGTGAAATCAGGAAGGCCAAATCACACCTGGAGTTGCAGCTAGCAAGAGATATTAAGAGTAACAAGAAGGGTTTCTTCAGGTATGTTAGCAACAAGAAGAAAGTCAAGGAAAGTGTGGCCCCTTACTGAATGAGGGAGGCAACCTAGTGAGAGAGGATGTGGAAAAAGCTGAAGTACTCAATGGGTTTTTTGCCTCTGTCTTCATGAACAAGGTCAGCTCCCAGACTACTGCACTGGGCAGCACAGCATGGGGAGGAGGTGACCAGCCCTCTGTGGAGAAAGAAGTAGTTCAGGACTATTTAGAAAATCTGGACGAGCACAAGTCCAGGGGCCGGATGCGCTGCATCCGAAATTGCTAAAGGAGTTGGCAGATGTGATTGCAGAGCCATTGTCCATTATCTTTGAAAACTCATGGCAATCGGGGGAAGACCCAGACGACTGGAAAAAGGCTAATGTAGTGCCCATCTTTAAAAAAGGGAAGAAGGAGGATCCTGGGAACTACAGGCCAGTCAGCCTCACCTCAGTCCCTGGAAAAATCATGGAGCAGGTCCTCAAGGAAGTAATTCTGAAGCACTTAGAGGAGAGGAAAGTGATCAGGAACAGTCAGCATGGATTCACCAAGGGCAAGTCATGCCTGACTCATCTAATTGCCTTCTATGACGAGATAACTGGCTCTGTGGATGAGGGGAAAGCAGTGGACGTGTTGTTCCTTGACTTTAGCAAAGCTTTTGACACTGTCTCCCACAGTATTCTTGCCAGCAAGTTAAAGAAGTACGGGCTGGATGAATGGACTATAAGGTGGATAGAAAGCTGGCTAGATTGTCGGGCTCAACGGGTAGTGATCAATGGCTCCATGTCTAGTTGGCAGCCGGTATCAAGTGGAGTGCCCCAGGGTTCGGTCCTGGGGCCGGTTTTGTTCAATATCTTCATAAATGATCTGGAGGATGGCGTGGATTTCACCCTCAGCAAGTTTGCAGATGACACTAAACTGGGAGGAGAGGTAGATACGCTGGAGGGTAGCGATAGGATACAGAGGGACCTAGACAAATTAGAGGATTGGGCCAAAAGAAATCTGATGAGGTTCAACAAGGACAAGTGCAGATTCTTGTTGAAGTGCAGATTCATCCCCATGCACCACTAGAGACTAGGGACCGAATGGCTCAGCAGCAGTTCTGCAGAAAAGGACCTAGGGGTTACAGTGGACGAGAAGCTGGATATGAGTCAACAGTGTGCCCTTGTTGCCAAGAAGGAGTAATGGTCTCAAGTTGCAGTGGGGGAGATTTAGGTTGGATATTAGGAAAATCTTTTTCACTATGGGGGTGGTGAAACACTGGAATGCGTTACCGAGGGAGGTGGTGGAATCTCCTTCCTTAGAAGTTTTTAAGGTCAGGCTTGACAAAGCCCTGGCTAGGATGATTTCGTTGGGGATTGGTCCTGCTTTGAGCAGGGGGTTGGACTAGATGACCTCCTGAGGTCTCTTCCAACCCTGATATTCTATGATTCTTTGATTCTAAGGAACTGTTTAATTGCAGTGTAGCTGTTTGGGCTCGGGCTGCAGCCCACACTCTGGGACCTTCCAACTCACAGGGCCCTTGAGCTGGAAGTTCTAGCTCAAGCCTGAACGTCTATCAAGCAATTAAACAGCCCTTTAACCCCAGTCAGGTAGCCTGGGTCAGCCACAGATTTTTAATTGCAGTGTAGACATACCCATTGTGCCCTCAACTCCTGCGGACCTCCCTGCCTTCAGTGGTAATTAAGGGGATGGGTAGCATCTCACCTCAGTGAGTTCTGTCTCAGTAGGAAGAAGCATTTAGAAGTCAAAAGAAGTTGATCTCTCTGAGTATCTAGCATGATTGGGCTCCCAATTAATTTGGAAATTCACTTCTCCTTCCAATGTATCTGAGCTCATGGCCCTTAAATATCATACATGAGAATGTCACTGGTCTGAGAAAGAAAGAAAGAGTCCCTGTGTTGCTCCTGAACCTAGCTCTGCCAGAATTAAAGCATTTTTGCAGAACTACTGTACATGAGGAAGTGCAGGATTATTAAAACTACTGTATCCATTTGAAATGAAATCTTTTAAATTCCATCTTAAATAAAAAGATGTTCTAAGTTATCAAGTGCTGGTACATGGCAGAGTATTTTACTCATAATGGAGCAGACTGCCAGACACAGCAAAACAAACACATCTTGAACTACACCCACTGGTAGTAAGTAAGGAAACAAGAAACTGCTTTTTACTTTACCTTGGTGAAGGTTAAACAGTCCTTGTCTTGGTCTTTATCCTTTATTTCAAAATCGTAAAGTGCTTTGCCCTGAGGCGGAGCTTGTGGAAGGGGCTTGATACACTGGATATAGCTGGCTGGAAAGAAGCCATGGTTTCCATTGAGCTCTCCGTGATACCAATTCTCATCCACCTTTCGTCGTAGTATGATAATGTCCCCTTTGGTAAACTTGAGGTCACCAGGTTCTTTTCCCTCATAGGTGTAGAGAGCTTTACCATAGGGCAGTTGAGAAATACTCTAAAAAAAACCACAATAGACAATCATTTTAAGTAAACTTATAATATGCACCAACTTTTCCTTAAATTTTCCAACTACTAGTAGCTAAATGATTATCAGCAACAGATCTACCATGGTGACTCCAATTTATTGCAATACAAAATAGTCTAAATTTCATGCAAAAAAAATCAACATTAGTACAACACTAATGTTGACAAATGAAGCACTTAAATGTCAGGAAATGGCAGAGCTGAGGTGAAAGTTCACTATAATGCTGATGCATTGTCCTTAGGCTGCAAACTACTATTTAATTATATGATTAATTATATTTATTTGCTAATTCATACACTATATAATACGTAATTTGGAATTTCTTATAAAAGTATACATGCAATAAGATAAATATTGAGACATACAGTCTTCAGGCTTGGTTTGATTTTTAAGTCAAAATGAGATCTACAAAACAAACCAAGTTTGAAGGAAAATGGTTCAGTAGCTTACAAGTTATAAATTGAAAGATATTAAGTTGAAACTTTTTTGACTCAGTTTGTTAGAACAAGTCCAAATGAATTGTAATTGGTTTTGTGTTTTATAACCAAATCCTCTTAATCCTTTCAAACTGCTCAAATCGCTTAGTATTCCCTAAGGACTACTGTGTGTACATACATAATTTTAAGTTTAAAGATTCTGTAGTCTCTGAGTTAGTGTCAGTAGGGAAAATATTTTTAGAATAGGAAGAATGTATTAGGTTCATCCCCTCATAACTGATATGTAACCTTCACTATAACTTACAGAACTATAACATCTTTCAGACTGTTTCCCAAAACACTTTAGAGATCTTGCGGCTCAGTGTTGCCACTCTCTCTATATATAGATAAATAGGTGCCAACTTCAATTATATATAATAGAAATGATCCAAGAGGGAGCTGTACTCTGCTAGGGCCTGCTCCCGCGCCTATTGAAGTTCATGGCAAAATTTCTATAGACTTAAATAGGATCAGAATTGAGTCTGTAATGAAGCCAATTGCTTACTCATTACCCTTGGCCTGCTGTTGATGATTTCGGAAGTTGTAACTGAATAGACAAGAACAGAACAGAGGGAAGTTCAGCAAATAATTTAAGGAGGTTACCCAGCTCCCAATTTCCATTTGGGCCAAATCATGCCTGGTCCTTTTGAGAGTTCATGGGGCAGAGGGAGGTGCAAGGAGCCTTTCCCCTGGGTCCCTTTGGGGTAAGACACACCCTACAGGGGGCATGGCAATGTACCCCATTGCCCTCGCACTCACCAGCAGAGCTAGCAAGCTGTGCAAGAAGCAAAATGCTTCACCATCCTAAAGGGTGCATTCCTCTGCATGCCATGCAGCCCCATGAGGGATTATGCAAATCCTTCCCACAGCTCCTGTGGGGGTGGTGAAAAATTGCCTTTCCTACCACAATGCGGCCAGTGCCTATCAGGAATGATTTGGCCCTTTGTTCCGCAATGTAGTGAAATTATGGTCGTTACTCGTTTATTTATAAATTCTTTATAAATGTTACAGGATTTTGTATTGTTTGTGTATGCACAGATACTGTCTTTTTTCCTTTCTTTACAGTGGCTGTCAGCTAGGACAGGTGACTGGTGGGAAGGGTATAAAAAGCAAGGTATTTAAAAAACTCAGACATTTTACAGAATGTTTATGATTCCTTGACTTCTGGTGGTGTTTTTTCTGAATAAAGAACTAGACGTTTATAGGAACAAGAATAGCATCTGCAGTTACACTAGCTAGGGTAAAATTGAAAGAGCTATTAATTGTGATGCTTCCAATGTGAGGGGGTGGGAAGGTCAAGAAGAAATTCCTCCCCAAGTTCTATACAGGAAAAATAGATGCTCTATGGAGCTTTTATGCCTACCTCTGAAGCACCTGGCACAGCCAACTTTTAGACACAGGATACTGAATTAGATGCACCATTGGTCTGTTCCGATATGGCAGTTCCTATGTTCTTACGACCAAATCTCTCTGTGGGCTGAGCAAGAACATCAGCCTGTAATTTATACTGCACTATAACTCCGTATGAAATGTCTAGATTCTGGACACAGTAGGAAGAGATTTTTCATCATTCATATGTTGCACTCAGATCAAAACTCAGATCCTATAGTCATCTCAGTACACCAATATTAATTTCATTATTTTATCTGCAAAGTGATTAGGCACTTAGGTGTTGTCTTGATTTGGGAAAGTGTGTGTGATGGATTCCACTGTCTGAATTATAGTGATAGAGCCAACTGCACATATCATAGCACTGTCTCTGTTGTCTGGGTAGGGATTTAATTTCACTGCCTCACAACACAAACTATCAAATTTATCATTGCAAATTTCTCACACTTTTTTGGTTCTAGGTGACATCTGCCTAACCTGTTGTCAGAGACAAACAGTATGGAAGAAAGTTCTCAAACATAATGAACAACATAATATCAGGAAACAGAAAAGTTAATGGCCACATAACACTGCTACAAAACCCAACCTCCCAAGAATGGCTTATTCTATGGCATCATCCTATGGTGAGTTAGTCATACTGTTTCCAACACAACTTATCTCTGCTGCTATGGCGACATCCAGTAACACTGAGGCACTGCCCATCTAAGCATTTTAAAGATTAAAGAACTTGCTGGTGTTATATACTGGGGCACTGCATGCATAGTGTTGCCTATTTCATTCTAGAAAAACAATCCTATGCTTTGCTGAAGGGAAGGTTATAGACTCTGATAGGAGCACTGAGACAGGAAAGAAAGTGAGATTTATGACTCTAGTACTCTGCCTATGGAAGACAATTTCTCTAATATAAAATAAACGCCTCGTCAAGTATTCACTACACACGAACCACTACGGATCCAGTTATACCATGACACACAATACACCCCATAACAAATCCTTTACTTAAAGCATGGCTATGCTCAGAAAAGTGATTACGTGAAGATGGAGGTACCCAGGCTCAGATCAGATTCTTACTTCCCTGGCCAATTTTTTTTAAACTACTTTTTCATTATGATAGAAGTGCAATGCCAATAGTGTTAAAGGAAAGGAAACTGGATTGTATCCTGGCTGATGAATTATTGGCAGAATTGTTTATTAAGTTCCATTTGTTGCATCTCTATTACGGGTGATTAAAGCTGGCCAGAATTATTTTTTTTATTCCACTGAAAATACAGAATACAAAGTGCATAGTGCTCACTTTATATTTATTTTAATTACAAATATTTGCACTGTAAAAAACAAAAGAAATAGTATTTTTCATTTCACCTAATACAAGCACTGTAGTGCAATCTCTTTTTCATGAAAGTTGAACTTACAGATGTAGAATTATGTACAAAAAATAACTGCATTCAAAAATAAAACAATGTAAAACCTACAAGTCCACTCAGTCCTACTTCAGCCAATCACTTAGACAAACAAGTTTGGTTACAATTTGCAGGAGATAATGCTGCCCGCTTCTTGTTTACAATGTCACCTGAAAGTGAGAACAGGTGTTTGCATGGCATCGCAAGATTTTTACGTGCCAGATCTGCTAAAGATTCATATGTCCTTTCATGCTTCAACCATCATTCCAGAGGACATGCGTCCATACTGATGATAGGTTCTGCTCAACAACAATCCAAAGTAGAGCGGACCGATGAATGTTCATTTTCATCATCTGAATCAGATGCCACCAGAAGAAGGTTGATTTTCTTTTTTGGTGGTTCGGGTTCTGTAGTTTCCACATCGGAGTGTTGCTCTTTCAAGACTTCTGAAAGCATGCTCCACACCTCATCCCTCTCAGATTTTGGACGGCACTTCAGATTCTTAAATCTTAGGTCAAATGCTCTAGCTATTTTTAGAAATCTCACATTGGTACCTTCTTTGCATTTTGTCAAATCTACTGTGAAAGTGTTCTTAAAACAAAGGTGCTGGGTCATCAGCAAAGACTCCTATAATATGAAATATATTGCAGAATGTGGGTAAAACAGAACAAGAGACATACAATTCTCCCCCCAAGGAGTTCAGTCATAAATTTAATTAACACATTATTTTATTAACGAGCATCATCAAGCATGGAAGCATGTCCTCTAGAATGGTGACCGAAGCATGAAGGGGCATACAAATGTTTAGCATATCTGGCACGTAAATACCTTGCAATGCCAGCTACAAAAGTGCCACACGAATGCCTGTTCTCACTTTCAGGTGACATTGTAAATAAGAAGCAGGCAGCATTATCTCCCGTAAATGTAAACAAACTTGTTTGTCTTAGCGATTCGCTGGACAGGAAGTAGGACTGAGTGGACTTGTAGGCTCTGAAGTTTTACATTGTTTTGTTTTTGAGCACAGCTATGTAACAAAAAATATCTACATTTGTAAGTTACACTTTCACAATAAAGAGATTGCACCACAGTACTTGTATGAGGTGAACTGAAAAATACTATTATTTTTAAAGTGAAAATATTTGTAATAAAATTAATAATATCAAGTGAGTTCTGTGCACTTTGTATTCTATGTTGTAATAGAATTTTTTCTGAAATTATTTGATTTTTTTTCTACTTTTTCATTCTGATAGAAGTGCAATGCCAATAGAGTTAAAGAAAAAAAACTGGATTGTAGTCTGGCTTATGAATTATTAGCAAAATTGTTTATTAAGTTATATGAAATTATTTGAAAATGTACAAAAACATCCAAAATATTTAATACATTTCAATTGGTACTGTATTGTTTAAAAGTGTGATTAATCACAATTTTTTAATTGCAATTAATTTTTTTGAGTTAATCGCGTGAGTTCACTGCAATTAATCAATAGCCCTACTTAACTTACATCTCTCTTGTTGCATATTAAACCTATTACTTCTTGTCCTACTTTCAGTTGACATGGAGAGCAATTAATCGCTATCCTTTTTATAGTAGCCATTACTATATTTGAAAACTGTTATTCCATCCCCCTTTAGTTTTCTTTTCCCAAGACTAAACATGCTTAGTTTTTTTAATCTTTTGTCACAGATTTTCTAAACCTTTTATCAT